ATATATCTGAAAAGGCAGAAAGAAGCTTAAACTACCAGGAGGTGGCAGAAGGAGCTGAAATGAGCACAATGAAAGTGGAATTAGCTGAAAAGGCTAAAATTAGAATAAAACAGTTGAATAGTAACTGAAATAGCAGAAAAAGCTGAAACTTGCATAAATAAGCTGAAAGGAGCTTAATAAACTGAAATTCACAGAAAGAAGTTAGAAGAAGCACAAAAATGTAGTTAGCAGAAAAAAATCTGAAAGGAACAAAAAACAGCTGAAAAAACAGCTGAAAAAAACAGCAGAAAATAGCTTAAAAATGCTGAATTGTAGCTGAAATGAACGAACAAGCCTTAATTGGCAGAAGAAAGCAGAAATAATAAATTTTTTGCTGAATTAGGTATAAATTAACAGAAATTAACACAAAAATTAGGAAATTAGCTAAAAAAAATCTGAAATTTGCAAAAAAAAAAAAAAAAAAAATCTGAAAAGGCAGACAGAAGTTTAAACTACCAGGAGGAGGCAGAAAGAGCTGAAATGAGCACAAAAAAGTAGAATTAGCTGAAAAGGCTATAATTAGAATAAAACAGCTGAATAGTAACTGAAATAGCAGAAAAAGCTGAAACTTGCATAAATAAGATGAAAGGAGCTTAACAAGCTGAAATTCACAGAAAGAAGTTAGAAGATGCACAAAAATGTAGTTAGCAGAAAAAATCTGAAAGGAACACAAAACAGCTGAAAAAACAGCTGAAAATAGCTGAAAGTAGCTGAAAAAGTTTAAATTTGCACAAAGAAGCTGAAGCAGAACAGAATGTGAAAGGAGCAGTAAAAGATTGTAAAACAGATCTAAAGATCTTAAGGATGTAAAATGAGCTCAATTCATTTTATATCAGAAAAATGGCAGAAAAGGGGCTAAATATTTCTAAAAGCCAAAGTTGCACCAATACCAAAAGTCATAGCAGGATTGTCCTGAAAGAGCTGCACGTTTTGATATATGTCAAGGTTCATGCTCCATAATCCAGGTATAAAATCCAACAATGTTCAGTCAGGTCATCAGATGACCTGACTGAACATTGTTGGATTATTGAGCATGAACTTTGATGTCTTGAACCACTTTGGCTGTGTTGCCTGGGAGGAGTCGACGAGGGAGAGGACAGCCCCAGAAACCATCTTATCACCAGCAAACTGGTTGGTCCACTGTAGGAGTGTACTACTAAGTGGGGAAAACAGTTTGCTTGTGACTCCTCAGACTCATGAAGCCCTTCGGATGGAGGGCGAAACGTCTCTCAACAACAACAGCAACAAAAAGAAACTGTCCAGATGACCTAACTGAACATTGTTGGGTTTTGACATATGACTTGTTGAAATTGCTTGAAAACTGCGGGATGAGAATTGCATCGAAAAATGTACAGAAGAAAAACGGATCACAATAGTGAGAATGCTTCACAAGCGTTCACACAATAATATGAAATTTAAAAGACAGAAATTATGTTTGTTCAAAGTAAAATCTTCAAGTAAAATAATTATAATTCTGAAACAGATGGTACCTTTTCATCCCGTCTTCCGTGTATTCACTCCTGTAGAAGCCTCCCAGACCATCGGACAGCTCTCCAACAAACTCAGTGAATAGCTCATACTTGCTGCCGGCCTGCAGAGGGCTTTTGAGCTGGACCACCAGGTACTGGGTCGGAACCTCCAGCCAGGTCTTTTTCAGGCCGGGTGCAGGAGCGCCATCCAAACCCTCCAGTCTGACGTCAAATCCATTGTGTGAAATAAATTTCAGGTTTGCAGAGTGAATGAGGATGAGATCTGTCTCCTTCACACATGTGAACACCACGCTGGAGTTTCCAGTGAAGTTGTACAGATCTTCAACGTTAGGCTTCAGCTGGGGCAATAAGGTCACGTTGTAGTAGTCAGGATAGAGGCTGTCTGGGAGTCTGTAGTGGTGCCAGGGTTTTGTTGGACCAGAGATTGTATTTCTGATGGTTGTACCAGCTCCAGCAGGGGATGAAGCTGTCTTTAACCTCTCATGAGCATACGCTACGGAAAGGGCCAAGATAGTTACTACGGCCCCGAAAGCTGCAACCACACAGACTACTGCTGCCGTCTTGCTGATGTAGAATCCTTCCCCCATGTCTTTTAACACTCAGGAAGAAGGAGAACGGATGGTGAGAGGACCTGTATTTATATCCTGCATTTAGAAATCCAGCCCAAAGTTAGTCATTGACAATATGGGAAGAGAAAACAGCTGAACACTCAAAACACCAAGTCATAAAACGTTCTGTGACTACGTCAAGTCCTGCCTGATTTGCAAACTTTCTACCTGTCTGATGGTTTTGAACAGGAATGTTTAGCAGCTGTCATGTTTCAGTTTAGTGGTGGCTGATTTGCAGATTTTATTTCTGTCTCCGTACTGTTCGTGTATACAGAATGCTTTTAGTTTCAAGCACTTCAGAGTTTAGAGCCCTGAAAAGCATAACAGAAATTAATTCACATGGACTGCTCCTGTATCAGTGAAGTCCTGGACTGAAGCCCTTCTAGGAGGTTTTGGCAAAGACAGGTGATATTCTTTTCCATGAGCATCTTTTATTACTTGTTTGCTTAAGAATTTTAAATTAGTCAGTTTTGCCTCCCGATTTAAAAAGTTGAAATTTTCATGGTTGCAAACGTATTCCTTTTAAGGATTGATGGAGACTGCTGCATTTTTTAAAAGCTGCAGTTGTTTTTAACCAACTGTCTCTTTTTGAATCTACCCGACTCGTAGTCTGATATTTTCTTGTTAGAGTTTGTCAAACTCTAATAGAGCTTTAATATGAATTTTCCTCAACTTTGGCCTGCTCTTGATAGATGTACACGTCCCATATTCCTTCACTTTCTTAATAACGGAGCAGAAATCCAGGTTATTTTTAGAGTCTTAGAAATCTCTTTGCATCCTTCCCCAGACTTGAACTTTTCAACAATATTTTCTGTAAGTTCAATTAGAAAGGGGAGATATTAATGCACTTATTTTACATTACTTATTTATTTATTATTACTCTGAAAAATGTTTATTTCACTTTGACACTGAAAAAGTTTTTCTTTTCATAAAAAAAAAGTAAATTCTCTTTAACCTTCTTTAACTTATGGAAATGAAAGCAAACAACATCTACGGGGGTGAAAACATTTTATAGGTGTTGCAACACACGGCTGATTTTGGCTTCAATGCCTGACAGGAGAGAAACTGTCAGTCTAAAAACTTAAAATGAGACTGCTATCCAGTGAGATCAAGCAAAAGGTCTTACCTTTTCAAATGTCACTTATGTTGCAGCTCAGCCTGCAGATCACAGATTCACACCGTGAGTCTGTCTTGTCTGCAAAACGCCTGACATATATACTCACGAACAACGGGACGTTTCGCAATCCTTGAAGGCAGAATAAACGATTGTAGCCAGCAAAGACATATTGGAACTTGTTCTGTCATGTCTTGAGAACTATGTTGGCCTGATTTTAACACCAGTGCTATGTCTTTCAATGCCGACTTCATAGAATGCATGTCACTCCATGTGCATGTTGCCAGAGTTGCTCACAGAACTCTATATGTCTAAGGTGTCTTCACAAACAAACATTAATTCTGTTGAAGGAGGAATTGCTGTTGAATTTCTGGTCATTTTTAAATTGCAGATAAATCATTTAGTGCAGTTTTCATAGTTTTCATTTGCAACAAGTTAAGAAAAAAAAATCAACTTTAGCAACTTCTCTTTATGCCTGAAGGAATTTTCACTGATTCTGATTACAAAAGGAAAGTGTCACACATAAGACAAGAAGGTTTCTACTCAGGTTCAGATAAATAAAAGAAAACACGTTTTTCTGCATTCTTTGCTCTGGTTTCCTGAGAAACAGCTCTTAAAAAGATGTTCATATTTTGTTTCATATTTCTTTTTGTTTTTGTTTTTTGGAAGATAAAATACATTTCTAAGCTAACAAAAACTTTGAGTAATTGTCTGAAATTATACAAATATACAGATATTTGTTAAGTAGGACCTCAGAGCTCCAAATAATATTATCTAAATTATTGTCTTGAACAATACCATCAAACATCTGTTTTTATAGACTCTGCAGTTCTCTGTTGTGATCTGGGTAGCATTTAAATTCAATCAGTCACCACTCAGGTGGTTTAACGGAGCCTCAGACAGAAAGACATTACGGAGAAGCTAGTTCAGATTGTTAGTTCCATGTACGAAGGTGTTAACAGTCAGAACTGGCAAAGGCAACACAACAGCATTTGAGATTAAAGTTGGCATTCATCAGGGTTCATGTCTCAGCCCACTGTTGTTTAATAGACGCAGTTACTGAACTTATTAGGATAGAAGAGGCGTGGGATATGTTGTATGCAGATAGTTGTGGCTGGAGATTCTGAAGTTAATCTCCAAGATAGTTTCAGATGGTGGCAGCAGGCACTTGAGAGTAAAGCCCCCAGTATACTGCCACGTACATCCATACGCAGAGGTACGTGCGTACCCCCCAGCGTACCCTCCGTGCAAAGCTCAAATTTTTACGACCGCATACGCGTACGCGGTGTCGCACAATAAACTGCCCAGAGATGGACTGTTTTGTATGCAACACCAATGTATTAAATTCCCCTTCTTCATCTCTGATCTGGCCTTTTCTTTTGTTTTTTTGCCAAGAGGCAGTGATCTCCCCCTCCTCCGTTGATGCCATGACTGAAATGGTGAGAAATGAAGGAATTTGTCATGAGCAAATTAAACTCAGGTCCAGCGTGGCTGCGGGAGGGTCTGGAGATTTCCCAGTGGGCTGGTAAGATGTGTGGGCTGTAGAGCCAGCCCTCCCTGTTTTTATTTGATTTTTTAGATGTTTTTATTACAACATATAAACACAGAACACCGCTGCGGTGGAGGCTGCCAGCGCTCGCTTTTTTTCTTTTTTCAAACCTGTCAATCAATCCAGTAGGCATGTCAGCAAATGACCAATCAGCGACCTCAATTTGTCCCGAAGGTAAACACCCCTTGTCTGTGAAGCTGCTCTGCAGCTGCTCGGGGTGTATGCTGGAGTATGAAGTCTAAACCCTCTGCGTACAGTACACGCGTACGTACGCGTTAACGGACGTACGTGGCAGTATACTGGAGGCGTAAAGGTCTGAAAATAAATGCAGAAAAAAAAGAGACCATGGTCTGTTTGAAAGCTAATGAGACCTTAATTACTGATAATATGGGAAATATATCTTCTCAATATTTAAATTTATTTTTTTGTCTTTATCTAAGTCACAAAATTTGTTTTAGCAGAAAAACTTCAGGGAATTTTCTCTTGTATTTTATTAATCCCTGGTCTTAAATCGTAAAATGAAGGTTTACATATTTCTGATCTTCATGTCAGGAAGTAGCTCTGACCACATGGTCACCAGCTTCGGATCTATTCATTTAGTTCCATTGGAATCTATACTGTACAAACTATATTCCTGTCATGGATTTATAACAAGCTTTTTTCCCAAAAATGTTTTGCAGTGGAGGGTTTGGCTCACATTGAAACAGCTCAAAAAAGAAAAGGTCCATCGTGTTCAAATACTAAAGTGGTATCCCTGCTGATATGACACTTGTACAGGACTGATTGTGTTCATGTGTGAGTCAGGCACATGTACTACACAGTATGTGTAAAAATGATTTTAGTGGCATTGATTGATGTCTCCGCATTATTGAATGTTCTTATAAGTGGGTCCTTCATGAGGCTTTTGGTTAGGATGGACAGAAAAACATAAAGGGCAATACAATCTTGTAGTGTTTAATAACTGGCAGCTCATCAGCTGTAATTGAACGACTGTGCCTCATTTTGATGCAGCTGTTTGTCAAACCAGGCTTCCACTGCAGCCTGTTGACGTTCAACGCATTCATCTGTTCCAAGCTTCGGATTGAACTCCCATCTTCCTATTGAAGCTGATTAAAGGTAAACTGTTGCCAAATGACAATCTGTGGTTTAAATATTTTATTACAACCAATATCAGCCTTCTTTTCTCCAGAAAACTGACTACAGGCGTGCAGCAGCACCCCGCTTCAATGTGACTTGTTACATCATCAAAATCGCCACACTGGCTCCCAGTTCGTTTCCGGATTAATTTTAAGGTTCTTTTGTTTGTATTCAAATATCTTCATGGTCTTGCCTCACAGTATCTGTCCGACCTTCTCCAGCCGTACAATCCCTCACGCTCTCTTAGGTCAGCTGATCAGCTGCTGTTGGCCGTCCCAAAGTCCAACAGGAGGCTGAGAGGTGACCGAGCGTTCTCAGTCGCTGCCCCTAAACTGTGGAACGAGCTGCCTCTGCACGTCAGACAAGCTGACTCACTTCTTGTTTTTAAATCTGCTCTGAAGACTCAATTTTTCTTTCTGGCTTTTAAAGCAGCTTGAAATGTTGGCTTTACTGTTTTATGTTATTTGTTTTATTGTTGTTACTGTTTGCTGCTTTATGATTTGGTAGTTCATTACTTTTATGGTATTTGTTGAGTTCATAGTTTTTATGCTTGTATGTGTTCGTTTATACAGCACTTTGACCAATGGTGTTGTTTTACTGAAATTGTTGAATTGAAATTGTATGGAGGTTGTAAATCACTCTGAGAACTCTTTGTGTGAACCTAAAGTTACTGCATGTTTCTAGACAAATAAGACACTGCTATCAAGTGACCAACTTTTTTTTACTGGTAATCAAGTTGTGGTCAGTGGCCAAGAAATCTGATTCATGGAGCGTACAGCACATCATGAGTTGCTTACATCGTACATAGTAAAGCACAAAGACAAGAATAGGACAGTGATGCTTTTTTTCCACTTCTAACTAAATCTGTCATCTCACAACTGTAAAAAAGGTGCAGCTTTTGCAGTCCTTGATCTTCACAGTGAATACAATTCATGACCAATCCCCAACCGTTCAAAAGCAAAATACCATCCTAAATTTCTGGGTTCTCATATGGTCTCGTCAGTTAACCACTTCAGCACTTCAGCTTTGTTTTCTGTCACCCATTTTATGTTTGCTGTGGTCTTTTCTATGGCTTGCTCCATTGCCAAAGTGGCTGAGCCAAAGCCAGATTGGTGGTGTTCTTCTTTAAATTTCTTCAGCTGGGGAAAGAAAGAAAGAAAAAATAACTTCTGCATATGTTATATTGCTTTTTTGGCCTCAGGAAAGTCCAATGTGTGGTTCAGTGTGTTTGTGGCTATGTGGGTTGCATACCTCTTGCAACTCAAACTCTGTGGAAAATCTCATTGTGATTCCATTGATGAGATTACGAAAAGCAAACAATCCTCCTCCGTATCTTAGAGAAAGGACAAAGTTTGACAGAAAGATTTTATGCATAAATAAATGTTATTAGACACATGCGAAGCTCCAACACTGGCTAAAAATAAGCATCACATAAATATCACTTTACGATGGGATTCATTTGTAACACTATAGTTTAATCATGATTATATCTGCTTTCTCAAAACAAGTGTGAGTAAATGAAACAACAACAGGTTCTTTTACAGAGAGTATAAAATTGATCACCTCCATTTTTCAATGTTTCGTACAGAGCCACTGTTCCTGTAGAGCACTGAAGAAATGACTACCTTGAAAAAGTGGCAGCACATTCTCTACGAAACATCAGAGTATGGGGGATGCACTTACTGTTGGGAGATGTAACTCCATCTTGCTCTGACAAAGTTCCAAGCCAGTGGCATTCCTATAACATTCCCGGCAATATACTGGATGGTGGAAGTGGCATCTTGCTTGCGGACCTTAGTTGGGTCGAGAGTGTACTCTAGATATCTGTCTCAAAACAAGTTCATTTGTGTAAAAGAAAAATATATATGCAAGAAGAACAACACAAAAGCTTCAGTTTGAAGACTTTAGGTAGGTGATAAGCATCAAGGTAATATACTTATTTTCCTACAAGCTCAAGAGTTTCTGTAAGTCTAACCCTTTGGCTCACTGAGTTTATACCGGAAAGTCACTCGTCTTTGCAATGTGCTGTTAACATTCCTTTGTTTTAAAACTGTATCATTTAAAATGATTTAATGAAGCAGTTACGTGTCACTTTGGTGTTGTGAATGTGTCACAAACCTGTTCAAGAGCCAAGGAATTTTGGTGCACGCCATAGCTGATCTAAGTCTGGAAGCTTCAGATGCCAGGGAGGCATTCTGAAACATTCTCCAGGCAAAATCCCACTCTTCCACTCCCCCAAAGGCTATGGCGTTGCAGTAAACGGTGCTTTTCAAGTTGGGATGGATCCTGTTAAGTGCAAGAGAAATAAGAATTAAATAATAAGGAAAAAACTTAGTCTGTTACTATATTACCACAGTATGACTTTTCTTTTCTAATTATTTGCAGTTAACCTCTGCAAGGGTTTTTCTCTGCATGGTTTGTGCTCCAATTTTTGATGCATTAAGTTTATAAGCATCATTTGGCCTGCATCCCTTCCCACTTTATTGGCTACCTCTCAGCATTGTATTCACAAAACTCACAGCATTAACTTTATGCCAGCACAAACACTCATCTAATTTGGTATGTGTTAACTGTTGGCATTACTTTTACATATAAACTCAGTTGTCCTCTCTGCACAGTTTAATTTTGTTACTCTGTCATAGCATAGACAAATAGAGGAAATAGTCATCTCACAGCGTCAGGTCTTAAAAAGGAAAGTGAAAAGGCACTACTTAAAACTGCACAAACAACATCTCACTGTAACCGGAAGGAGTCATGTTTAACATGGAATTTATCAGTCTATAAAGCACATATTATGCTCTCTTGACCATCACTGTATTTTCTTATTTTCCTTTCAAATTGTCAAAAATGAATTATTATTTTCTTGAAAGTCCTGAACAGTACTTGGCTTTGGGGACAAAGTGTTTTGTGCCATCACCGTTATTTGCATAATTATATAGTCAAACTAGTTGGCAGCGCAGTTTGAGGCCCACATCTCCCTTTGAGATTGATTTGCGAATTACACTGATACCATATGCATAATCCTAACTTGCACCTGCAAACGCCATGAAATCTTTTGGTGAAGTTGGACCTCAGTTTGATTGATCATGCCTATCAAGACGAATAAAACTTTAAAAACGCAAAGACTTAATTTTCTCCTCACTCACGGGTTGTGGTTTGGGTTTTCCATCCACTGTTTGTACCAGCTCTTGATCAGCTCCCTGCAGCCCTCCACACCCACACCACATGCTATCCCGATAGCATTGATCTGATTATACCTGACAAGAAACAAGACCAAAGAAAACTAGTATAAAAAGTACACGTGCACAAATGTGTTTGAAATTGTACCTCTGTTGTAAAAATTCCTACTGATCACTGTGTCCAGTGGGTACTTGGGTCCAATTTGAGGTAATTGTCTTGAAATAGTCAAAGAGTGGTTTGATTTGCATCTTGAGGTATGTCTAGAACAGAAATGTACAAATGTTTTTGTGTCCAGTAATTAGTCTGTACATCAAAGTGTTTCCTGTTAGCATACATGAGGACTGACCTGTAAAGCTCCATAGACTTCAGTGCGCTCCAACAAGAGGATATAGTTCCCGAGGTTTTTCAGAGCTGATTGCCAGGGGATGTAGTCTCGTTCTTTGTACAGATATTTTGTAGTTCTCAAAGCCAGTGTTGTACTGATTATTTTTGCTCTGCATGGGAGAAACAAATAGGTAGTTTTGCAAACACACAGTATATAAAAGAGTTATGCATGTTTTTACCTTGCCAGATTGAATGCATCATCTATGATTTGTGCTCGGTTGATGACTGATAAAGCCTGAAAGAAGACAATAACCCATGTGTTAAAAAAATACAACCATTGGTCTGTCTTAACATTTCAATTTTCTAAAACCACACTTGTTATGTAAGATAGCATCCAGGTTATTGTATTGGGCTCTGTGATAAATCATTGCTATTGCTACATTTATTTGAATGTGCTTATAGAAAAAATAATTATCAAACATTAATACTTTTCTATACTAAATGTCACTGATAGTATTGTTATACTATTTCTGAACACCTGCATTTGTATTGATCTGGATAATGAAAATAAGCCTCTTGTAATAAGTAACTAGCTCCTAGTGTTAACATTGAAGCATTTAAATTGAA